AAAGTAATATTTAAATTAATAAAAATTGAATTATTTTCTTTGGAAGGTGAGTTAATCGTTAGTTTCTAATATTTTATAGATATAGAGAAAATCTATCAAAGCAAAATTCAATGTATTTTTCACTTGAATGCTCTTTATGTTAAGCTAATGACAGAAGACATACAATCCAAATAACCAAATCAAATTAGTGGTACTGCCATGTGCTTCACGCATCCCATGCAGTCACTTGAATTAGAGTTCATTTAGAGAAAGAAAATGAACGAAGTTTCATCCTTCCCTTAATCCAAGGGATGCAACACAACTTGTCCTTCTTTATTTTTCATTTTTGGATCGAGATGCAACTCAACTTGTCTAAATCAAGCATTTTATACTCTCAAAAGAGCTAATCAATTTCACCAAATCACAATGAAAGCTTTTCATTCAAGCATCCCCAATCACAATCCACGTCATGCAAGACTTACAATGTTTTAAACAACTATGACGTTTACCTAATATTATATTCAATTAATTTTACTATTTTAACATGCCTAGTGGAGGAGTTTTTTTTTTTTTTTATTTACATTTAAAATGTTTTTGAGTTAGTTTTTACATATATCAAGATTAATATTTTCTTAAGAGATCTCAAAGGAGCACCCCTTATATTATCTTGATGCATTTAAGAAAATTAATTTTCTTAAATGTTAGTCTTAATAAAATTTAAATTTTAAATTTAACTTATAAAATAACATTTATTTATCAATGAATCTAATCTTTGGAGTTCTAGTGGAGAAGTTGACAGTATATGATTTCAATATATAATTTAGTCACACTCTTTTACTCGCAACTTTTGCTAACAACTTCATACTATTATTTATTTATTTATTAGTTTTTGGGTTAAATAATAGGAGACCATCCCTTTTATATCCTTATACTCATTCTATTAACATGTCATGTAATTTAAATTTAAAAACTTTTACTTCTATAAAAAGTAAATCATTATTGAAACTTTTAAATCATTGTTAATATGTAATTTATTAAATGACTCATTTCACTCTACCACCACAATGTTGAAGCTAGGGAAAAAGAAGTCCTTTAACTTTTAATGTCCTTAAATTCTTGATTTTATATCATTTTAATCATTTTTATTTTTTATTTTTATCCATTAGAGGCTACTTTTGGTGATAGTAAGAAGACAAGGTAAATGAAGAAAATATAAAAGATACTAACGACTTGTTAATTCAAGTTGAAAAAATTCAATTCCTTTAAGATTATGAATTCGAGTCTTATAAATGAAAAAATAGACGTTGGGAGAGCTTTTTTCCATATGAGATCCGACGTGGTTTGATTTCGGATTAATCGGAGTACAATGTGACTTTTGAATACCAAGAAGTTAATACCAAAAATATATAGGTTAAATCCCCATTTTGATCCCTGAACTATTGTACGGACCCCGATTTGGTCCCTAAACTAAAGAAATCCCTGATTTGGTTCTTAAACTATTGTACGAACCCCCGATTTGATCCCACTGTTTATAATTTGGCCTAAGTTGGTCCTTGAACTATTGTACGGACCCCTAATTTGGTCCTTATTGTTTATAATTTAGTATGGACCAAATTGGGCATCTGTACAATAGTTTAGGGACTAACTCGAGAGTCCGTACAATAGTTTAGGGACCAACTCAGGGTCCGTACAATAGTTCAAGGACCAAATTAGGAATTTCTTTAGTTCAGGGACCAAATCAAGGGTCTGTACAATAGTTCAAGAACCAAAATAGGGGTTTAACGAAATATATATATAAGGTAAAGAAATGTTAAGATTAATTGAATGATGATTTTTAAAGTATTGCCTTAACCTCTTTTTTTTTTTTTAACGTGGGAAATTTGAAGAAAGGGGAGAAGTTTATAAGTAACCAATAAAAGTAAAACTTCCAATCACTAAAAACCCGACCTCTAAAATTCAGTAATGACACATTTGCCTCATTGATTGATTCAAAGTATTGCCTTGTTTTTTGTTTCAACAATTATTGCTTAGATTGCATATTAAATTATTGATTTGGCCTTATTTAATCTTTGTTTAAACTTCAAAATCTCTGATTTAACTTCAACGGCGGAGCTCAGGAGCCCCCTAAACTTTTGAGAAAAAATTTTTTTGATCCCTTGTGTTATATTTGAATAATCTTCATCCATATATTTTTTTCATAACATTTTAAGTTTTTTTTCTCTTTTTTTTATTATTGAGGATTATTTTTTATGATTACGAGTGAGAAGAAAATAAAGACAATATAAAATATGAGGAAAACTGAAGATCAATCAAATGAAAAATTATTTATTATCATCATTTTACAAATTATTTATTCATCAATAGTCTTATACTTTCCTCTTTTTGTTTTTTAATATTTTCTACTCAATATATGTTCATCTTTGTTCTTAAATCAATAACGTATTTGTCATCAACCACTTTTAATTTATTATTAAAAACTAACATATATTATTTAAAACAATTTATTTAAAAAAATTTTCCATATAATCTTTCAATAGACATACAAATGCACCATTTCTTGATAAAGGTTTCAATTTGCCGAAAAAAAATTTTGATAGTTCCACCGCTATTAGACTTGTTTAATCTATATTTAACCTTAAAAATCTTTAAATTATGCAAAGAAATATTTGTTTCTAAGTTGTTTTCGTAATTAATACGAATCATTATGTACTACTTTGGTATAGTTTATTTGGTGTGCATCCCTCAGTTTTAGCACTAGTGAAATTCCCTTAGTCCCCTCCTTATTTTTTTAATCTTAACTATGCCATAAATCTACCAAAACTTATAATATTATATATTTTCATTTATTTAATAACATGTAGATTGTAAAAAAAAAGTTGACATGATCAAAGGTTGTGATGACTAAGTCATAACTTTGTGATTTCTACAATGAGTAGATTTTGGATTTGAGTATTAGTTTCCTGCAGTATTTCAATATCCATGATTTTTTTTTAATATTATTGAAATATTAAGCAGACCCAACATATAGCTCATAACAAGAACAAGAAGAAGAAAGTACAATTAACATTAGCAATTGACTATACGTCCTCAACAGCAGTTTTTTAAGTTGCCTTTTAACAGCATTAGCAAATGAAACTCAGATAAATGCCATTTTGCTTCCTATATGTTAGATGCATTTGATATACATGAAAACAATATTTTTGCTTATAAACCTGGACTCCTCATGCTTCATGAATCCCACTGAAAAAACAGTGAATATAATTTTGTAAACAAATTTTGTACTGTAATACTTTTTCGTGATTTTGCATTTAAATCTTAAGTAAATAAAAAAATTGAGGACTCCAAAATTATTAAAAAATACTCAATAAGGTGCACCTTAAGCTCAAATTATGAGTCTTCTTGGCCAATTTACTTCACTACTAACAGTTTAATCAAACGGTAGTTGCAGTTATTGTCAAACAGAATAAAAAATATAATAAAATAATTTAAATTTTCAACATAGTCAAAACAAGGTGTAGCATGATCTCTTGTAAGTTATAATTGAGTTTGTAGTTTATTTTATTTGTAACTTGATTGTGTCATATTACATAACAATATATTCATTAAATATTATTCAATTAACTATTTGGTGGCCTAACAAGGTATGAAATTTTTTTGGTAAAAAAACGCTATGTACATGATTGTGAAGCTTTTGTTAGAACTTTTTTCGAAGCAAGATCGACATAAAAAGGTAATATTCATGAAGTCTGAGATGGGATCAACAGCTCTTCATCATCCTATGAAAATAAAAATCAAAAACTTAAGTTGTTAATAGAAAGTGGCTCTTCATCTTATACAGTAATGGCATACTAACGTCTAAATATTAGGGCATTTTCCTAAATCATGATAAAGTCTAATCAATGTTATGCTTCCTTTAATCTTGATTTTTCATTTTATTAATGCAATGATTGGTTATTAATTTTTCCTAAGCCCAAATAATTATGAGATAAATAACGTTGTTCCAAGAGTTCTGAGATCTCCAACTCTAGGTGCTTGCTGAAAATTCCCTTATGCTAGGACCGGGAACAAACCAAAAATGACATGGCAAAAGTAGAAGGGCCAAGTATTTTGGATGTAAAAGAACTGTTACAAACTCAATTTAGTGATTAAATTGAAAGGAACACAGAACTATATACTTTTATAAATAAAAAAGTAACTCTATAATTGTCAACCTAATTGGATACAATTTTTATTCATCTGACTCCAGTGAAAAACTTCCCCATCCCATACCTGCATCTAGTTCTTCCAGGAAGGGTTCAAGAGAATAAAAAAAACTTAACGAACATTGTTTTACGGAAAAGAACTTACATGCCATATCAGCATGCGCAGTTTAATACGGAAGTCCCCAAACATTTTGTTTTCTTTGCTATCTTCCCAATACCGGTGTCACTCAGACTCAGAGAGAATCTTGAACTAACGGGAGAAATGTGCAGTCTGTCCATCATATTCATTTTGGGGGCATCAAGAATTTTCATGGGTATTGACAGTGCCCATTACATGCCCTATATTGCCAGTGGCCTCATGTACATAAGAGATCAGAAATGCCTGTCAATTGTCCATGCCTCTGGAATCTCTGGAACCAGTATCTGTATGCAAGGTGGAAAAAGAGAAATGAATTAACATTAGTCTTGCACACCACAACACAATAAACAAATTGAGCAAAAATGATTTTAAAGTCATAGTGCGAGAGAGAAACAACAGAAGAATATCAATCCTGTGTGACCAGATAAGAACATAATAAGCCAAAAAGGACCAACGATAACCTCCCTACTCCTGGAATTCCCAGGAAATCTCTAAGCTTGACGTGAATGATTTGAATCTTAGCATAATCTAAAACACGTGATCTCATGGGGTTTTCTTGTTGGAATTTAAATATTTTAATAAAAAAATAAAATAATATATTTTATAAATTAAATTCATGTCTTATTAAAGTCATGGTCAAATTAGCCATTTTAAATTAATTGTCTTATTTAAGAGCATATTATTTCATAATAATTATCCAATTTATTCCTATCATTAACTTACAAATAAAAGTTACATATTCCTATCATTAACTTACAAATAAAAGTTACATGATCATGAGTCCTGTAAATAAGACATGTCTATTTGCTCAAAAAAGTATGTTTCTTCACAATCTCCTATTTTTCTTATCTTACTTTATCTTTTAAATATTATTGGATAAAAAAAAGTATTTTGAATTAATTGACTTTATAAGTAATACATATTCATAAAATATAATTATACAACTGTAGCATTTTGGGAGTAACATGTTATGTATATCTCTGCTACACCAGTCAATTTACACTCCACAAAAGCATGATCTTTGCTACACGGGTCAATTTAAACTCAGTAGAGGTATGAATCAGCCTTGTGTCAATTCAAACCCCCCCCCCCCCCCACCCTGCAAAAAGACTTGCAAAACCTTGGACCTAGTGGCTGCTTTGTGGCAGTCCCATCATGGTTATTACTATGCAATTCTTACCCACATCTCCCTTCGGCCTTGTGTCAATTCAAACCCCCCCCCCCCCCTAAATGACTTGCAAAACCTTGGACCTAGTGGCTGCTTTGTGGCAGTCCCATTATGGTTGTTATTATGCAATTC